ATATAATTAACTATAAGGGCTTGCCCTTATAGGAATATGAGAAGTTAAGATATAATTAACTATAAGGACTTGCCCTTATAGAAATATGAGAACTCTAAAATGGGTATATCCACCCGAGCTCTCTGGTTATCAACTTTCATAAGGTCTCCTTCATAATTTTGTCGTTAAAGCATTCCAGACATATGCTTTAAAGCTATAAATGTAAAGATTTACCTTTATGAAGGCTTCCTTCACACATCTTTTTCTTTGTTCCTGTTATTGCCTGCCCTAATCCTCCGATTTCTCATCTTTTGAGATGAATAATTATTCGGAGAAGAGAGCAATATAAATAAAGACAAACTGGCTACTCCACGACAACGACGATGACATCAAATCCAAGCAGCATGAATGAAGGCTGATGACAGTGCTCGACAAAAGCAGCCAATAAGATACTTACGCGACCATACAATATTTGTTGAGTCATTCATTCTCTTCATTCAATCAACCTAATATCGACCGATCGTATGACAAATAATTTATGTTCTTTGTGCCTCTAATTATTATACAATCGCATTCTTGTTGTGCAGAAAACAACACAACTACAACTTTCCAAATATATTAAAAGTAAAGTTTTTTTGTTAATTGCCACTGTTTAATAAGGAGGATGCCACAATGTATAGGTGTATTTCCATCCACCATGTCATCTATTAAAAACTGCAAGTTTCTATACCACATAAAATGGAACAACCAAATACACACACACACACACTTAGCTGGTAATATGAAAAATAACAAAATAATACATACTCGCATGCACCACACATGATCATATCTTGAAATAAGCTTCCTAGCTTTTTAGTTATTGTTGCTAAGAATGAATTGAACTACAAACAATTTTTAGTTTGCAAGCAAGAAATAAATAATAACAAAAATATTGTTCATCACTATATATGCTATGGTCCAACCAGACTCTACGACTTACCATGGAAATGTTTTAAAAATGCAGGTTTATAAACATAAAACTAAAAAAATCAAGTTATGAGGATTTAAGCACATGATAAGTGATTTTTGAGGGCATGTGTTTCAGATATTCAACAATCGTTGCAAGTATAGGGAAATATTGAGCTTGATGCATGAAATATTGTAACCATGAGATCACCTGAGAGGGAGATGTACTGGCGAAACTCCAAGGGTTATAAATGGGTGAATGGAGCACCGTAGAGAGGTGGTGTCGATGTCTATGTTGAAGACCGGTTGCTTTGTTGTAAACACTTTCATCCCAGGTGAGTAAGAAGAATGGAGGTGGGAGGAAGACAGAGAAAGATGGGATTAAGAAGGCTGGAAAGGAAGAAAAGTTTCGAGTAGTTTATTTGTCCCGTCTTTTTGTCTGATGGAGGTCGTCGGTTGAAGCTTCTTCCAGTGAGAAGCCCGATGGAGGAAGGAGGCGAGGGAAGACATGGTTGGCCGTATCTTTCGATTTTGGCTAGGTGGGCTCGGGACGAATATGGCAGAGGAAGGAATGACAGATTAGCTTACAAAGAGCATTTTTTGTCCAGTCTGCTCAAGTAGCTTTATGTGACGCGAAAGTTATTCCTGAGTTATTTTTAAGTTATTTTTGCTTACAAAGAGCATTTTTTGTCCAGTCTGCTCAAGTGTGACGCGAAAGTTATTTCTGAATTATTTTTAAGTTATTTTTAAATTATTTTAAATAATCTCAAAATAACCCAAAAATAAAGACAACACTTTATTTTGGGTTATTTTGATTTTTTGGTTATTTTGAGATTATTGAAAATAACCCAGAAATAACCTGAAAATAATTTGGGAATAACCCTGTCGCATATAGAGCTACGTCAGAAGTCCACACAGAAAAATTAAGCCGATTTAGAAGACCGAATGAGAGATAAAGTGGTATAAAAATTAGCAAAAAAAAAGTTTTGGGTAGTACTTTAGTAAATAACGAACTTTATATGTCCATAGGTGAATACATAGGAAATGAGTGTTAAGGGCATGACATAAACATTAGATAATTTTTATGTATTTACATATGTAATACCTAAATTTTTCTATGTTTATATGAACACCACTCAAATTTTTAATATCAAATAAAATAAAGCATTATTACTCTACTTTTTCATGGAAAGATTTATGGCACAAAAGTAATTTTAAAATAAATATGAAAATTTAGATGCTTGATATGTAAATATGTAAGAATTGTGTGATATGTATGCATGACTTTCTGAAATTTAAATAAACTCACATAGCTGTTGAAGTTTATTTCAAATGCTACTTAAGATTACTTGTATTTTATGAGCTATATAATAAAGAGATGATCATTTATTGTCCTTATATTGGTCATCAAATTAATTTTAAATATGGGTCACACTAAAATTATAAGGAATATTTTAGTACAAATTATGCTTTGCAAAAGATAAAAATTAAACGCTTTTAAAGAATTTATTCTATTTAAAATCTTCAAAATTTATTTATTGAGTAATAATTTAAATTTTTAATTAAGGGACATTTATATGCATAAATAAAATATCATAAATAAATAAAAAAAATTGGTTTATAATTAAATGCAAATTATCCACCAAAGTAAATGTTGCTTTATAAATAAATAAAATTCGCAGTCTCCGCTCAGGCCGGATTCCGAGATCCCATTCAACGCCGAGAAGAAGAGGAGAAGGCGGTTGACGGCGGCGGCCGATCTCGTTCTCCTTCTCCCAATTGGCTCAAAGGTAGCTTCTTTAAATCTCTTGGGATCGATGGTTGTCTTATCGCGAACTTTTATGGAGTAATTAAGCTATTGAGATGCGCAGAGACAGTCTCTGTTTAATATATATGCGCGATTTAACTGATGTTTTATTCGTTTTCTGTTGGAGAAATATGTTCTAACTTCTTTTTCCCAATTTCCTTCGGCCGGTAGGTTGTGGTTGCTGAGAGCATCTGTTTGTTTGGAATTTGTTTTTTGTGGTGTTCTCTAGGGCGAGGGTTAAACTAGGTGTTTTTGTTGCCGAGTATCTACTGCAGCGATTGATGTAATGTTATGTCCATTGATAACTTTCAACTATGATGATCTTGTTCGTTTGTGCTAACAAGAGTATGTTTCTGGCTACATGGTTTCTGCTAAGGGCTAGTTTGTTTGGAGATAACTAGTTGGAAGTGATTTGAACTCAGTTATGGAATTAAATACAAGCATTTTTTTGGTTGATAGTGGATGAGTAATTTCATATTTTTTTAGGGCAATCTCATAGAGGTTAAGGAGTTTCAATTTTGAAGGCTTGAAATTCAACTTTAGTTTAAATATGTTTTGAATAGTATAAAACTAAGGGAATGGTGGATTTGAATATTACTTTAATTTCTGATATTTATCAAGTTATATAAATTAATGGGAGGGTGGTAAACGTAAAACTGAATGCAGCCTAATAAATGCTTGAATGGAATCCATAAGAAATAAGCTTTTGCAGAACAAAGATAGATAATTGAAAGACACTTCATTGAAGCTTACTCTTGAAACTTTTATCCTAGAACTTCCAAATATTTGCATAGAAAAGTGTATTCAAGTGTTTGGTGAAATGGCAGTTCCATGTAAGAGCGTTGAAACTAACCAAATTCTTTTTAAGACTATTGTGCTTGATTTCTCATCTAACCTAATTGATATTCTAAGTTATATTTTGAGACATTATACTTTTCATAACTTGTACAAGAAATCTGTCATATCTCAAGAAATCTGTCCTGTCTCTCTAATATGCTTTCTTTATGTAGGGGGATTGTATGACATAAACATATCTTTCCTCTCTCTCCGTGCCATACATTTGAATGAATGCGACATTAGATGAAGTGGCATTTGGTCTATCTTGGGTGAAAAATCTCTTATGGAGTATTGAGAATAGGTGATGGGAACCTTGTCTTTTGGAATTGATAGAGCGAACTTCTCACATCATACATGATCCCTCATGCTTGCTTGTAGGTTGTAGATGAAGTGATCGAAAGGCGGAATTTGTTTCTCGAGCAACACAAACTTCCACAAAGCTACAACTTGATAAGGTGGGAGTGTGGGAAGTAGTTTTCCAATTAATTTGATCTTCTTGGATGGTCATAGAGTAGTAGTGATGTTTCATGATTAGGGAAGATTGGCAAGTAAGGAGGTGCTAGGTGCCCTCATAATAATATTGGAGGCTACAAAATTCCATACATTTGATGAGAGTAGGAATTGACCCGACCTCTGCAAGGTTCACGAATTGCATGTGTTATTCAAGTAATACAATGATCGAGTCAAGTTTGTTCTCACGAGGATGGAGATTAAAATTTTAAATTATGTCCAATATTGGTCCTATTTCAAGTCAAGTTTTATCCAATTAATAAAAAATCTTTTTATGGTTTTATTTAAGAGATGAAAAGTTAAATTTTTTCTATGATTTTTCAATTAAACTAACTTTTTTGGACTAGTGAACACCTCATATGATCGTACTCAATGTTAGGTTCTCTTATATGTGTTGTCAATCAAGAACAATGGTACTTTTTATGCTCCGTTGAACCATTAAAGAGCATTGAGATCTCATATTACAATTTACATGTTTGAATCATGCAAAAACCTTCAAGATTTTCTATTCCTCAAAATGATTGTAATTTTCTAACAATTATACTCCTATGTTATTAGAATGTTTATTTCTAACACTAATCTTCCACTAGTTTTTTGTCAAATGTGTTATATCACAGTGAACGTTAATATATATATATATATATGGCTAATATGTAAGTAAATGAAATTTGCAGGTTAACAAAACAACGATCACACATATTTCATTTCAAAACCTTAATTCCAGAGTACAAAACATAAAAATGTACTAGTCTAATTAATTTATGTTTAGTTACAATACATTGAAAACCAAACATAAAACATCGAACTCAAAACACAACATTTGAGTAAATGAAAGGAAAAAACCTAGATGAAGTCTCAAGGATCCCAAATTTGTTGAATCTCCTCCTCTTTCTCTGCGGACTTAGCTTTCACTCACTCTTGCACACTTAAGACACTCTGCACTGTCACACTCTATCCTCTCCACACACTCCACACACTCCACACACTCCACACACTCTACTCTCTTACACTGAATTTTTCTTTTCTAATTATATTATAGATAATTAAATTTCACTAAAGTTTTTATGATTCAATTTTTAAAAGCAAAATCATAAATTTGAATAGAAAGTATCAAATCTTAGCCCCAAATATTTTTTTCACATATTCATCTTTTTCCTTATTTTTTGACTTGAATTTTCTTTGGAATCATTTGTTTATTAATTTTTAGAGGGTTGGTTGAGTATTTTCTACTCTAATTTAAATTTATTTCTTTATTTTTATTCAATTGAATATATCGTTATCTTGGTCAATTTTCATTATTTCCATTATAGTTTAATTAATACTAATCCAACACTATCACTTAAATTAATTAAGTATTAGAATCCTAAATCTTTATATTAATTAAATATTGTTATAGGCCAAGGCTTTATGTGTTTAATGGGAAATAAAGTTCAAAGGATCTATCAAAGCTACTAAACAATTTTGTAATAATTTGAAATTGTCTTAAATATTTAGTTAATTTAAACATTTTATGAAAGTTAAAAAGTTTCAAATTATTATTTCAAGGCTTTTCAATTTTTAAGATTCATTTGTTTACCAAAACTAATTAGATCATAATCTTAGGCTTTGATTATCGTGAAAATAAAGTCATAGGGGTTTGTTTTATGAAAATTATCACGAAAAAAAATGATAGCACTGCAGTTTTGACAAGACAACCTTGCTAAACTCACATATCAACACATAAAATATACATAAATGTTTTACTTGACTGTATTGAGTTTATATTAGAAAATGTAAAATTAACTCTCGAAAGTAATAATAAACAACAAAATATACAAGTACAGTTCACCAATAAAAGGATCCCCAACTTAATTTTTTATTAACCAAACAAACAAGTACCATGCTTAATAATAAGCATAATTGTTATTTTATTTTAGTTGTGTCAGTCCATGATTATCAGTCTGTTTGGGGCAGCTGTCTGTGAAGCTGCTGAAGAAACATCAGTTATTTAAAAAGCTACAGTGACTATTATAATTTTTTTTTGAAAAAATCAGATCGTGGTTTTCTGGCAGTCACTGTAGGTAACCAGGTCTAGTGGGGAAGTATAGCTTTCAACTACAGTTTTTTGATAACGCAGACAAAACACAGGTTTGCCAAACAGAAAAAACTGCAGTGCAGCACTACACCGCCGCCTCAAATGCACCCTATGTCTCTTCACCTCCCAACAAGTGCTCAATTTTATGTCATCAACTTGATAATGTCGAAATTCTTCGTACTTTTTTCCAAAATCAAATTTTCTTTTGCGTAAGCTTTGATCATAATCTTAATATGTTTGTTCTATTGGAAAATTTCCTATCCTATCAAATTGTAACCCCATTTTATTATCTCTTTGAATATATAATCTTTTGTTATTTTTTCAGTTTCATTCAATATCTCTTTTGTAATTTATTAATTTTTATTATACCACAAACTTCATTAGAATATGTAGGAGGTTGATTGGATTATAAACTTCGAAAATTATTTTTTGATCACGTGTTCTTATAATTAACTTTTCTTTTGTAAATCTATATTAGTCCTACTACTTGTAAGAAATGACAATCTTAATATAATTAAGATTTCCATATCCAAAATAATAAAATAAATAGATAAGATGAATGTAACAACCTTAGTTAAATCATTCTCAATCATTCCTCTAGGATATGTCATTGATTGATTTGTTAATTGAAAACTTCTAGTAGGTTGAACCCCTCCTATTTCTAGTCTCTTAAATATTGACAAGGTCATTGAATTTATGTTGGCTCCTAAGTCTGATGCGGGAGAGCCATGCCTAGCAGGCAGGGGCACCCAGGCCCGCGCTAGCATGGTAAGTGCCGCATGGATTGTTTTCGCAAGACCCATTTTTTTTTCTTGAACCGAACTTGTCCAAGTTTTTTCCCTTTTGAGGAGTCGGCTGATCCTCTTAAGCCACTCCTAATATTCTCTCATTATATATTTGTATTCCTAATTTTTTTAGTTTTAGTTTTTGGTGAGTTTGTTTAGCTCAACCGCTAGTGTCTATTTCTCTCTTTGAGGGTTATATTCGAGGAATTTGGTGGAGTTCCGTCTGTATCTCGTCGGAGGCAGTGATTCTCCTTGAAGGGTTGAGTATTGTTTCAGCTGTATCACTCTCGAGGTGATATTTATCCTTCCCCAACTTCTCTCCATCCCTCCTGCTTTGCTACCATGAATTCCTCGCTATAAACGCCTCGACAACCACCTCTCGGATGTCTTCCTGCAGTTGATGCTCTTCTAACTGTCGTCTGATCACTGCCAACAACCTAAAATTATTCGTTCGAAACCCATGCTGCTTTCCCAGCCACCCACAACCTGCCTTGCTGCAACTCCGTAAGCCCCTCGCCTTGTTGTCTACTGCTATTCTAGCTACTTGAACCACATCCCTGCACCTCACTGTTGTTCTAGCACTTCCCCCACATTGCCATTGCTGTTCCCGCTGCCCAAGACCATTCTCAGACCGCCTTGCTGCTGTGCTAGCGCCGAAGCCACCCCCACAACCTAGCTATTGTCCCGCCGTGCATAACCACCCATAGCTACTGTTTCTTTGTTGTCCAATCCACCCACCCCTTGCTACCACCTCTCCAAGCCCCTATCGACCACCAATCTCACCTGAGATCCAACGTGGTCTAGTGTTTCTGTCGTGTTTGTTGCTAATTTTGATTTCTAGGCGCCGTGTTGTTGTATTTTTTCTTTCAAATGTGTGTGTTGTATTCGTTTATTTGTTATTAGTAATAATATTTATTTTTCATTGTGATTTGGGTTAACTTTGATATCATTTGATATTAAAGCTAGCCTAACTCTAGTTCTATCTTAGGGTTTCTAGCATCCGCCATACCCTATCTCTTTCTGCATTCTCCCACATTGCTCCCGACTGCCGTATCTCAATTTAGCTGCCCGCAACATCATTCCAATTACCATTTTCTACAGTTCCAGTCTCCACCGCCACCTTCCTCTCTATCCTCTGCGCTGCCATCGCAATCCCAACCCTCCATTTTCACGTCCACTACTCTTCCCTCATTATAGCCAACTTTCTTATCCTTTTTCCACTCATTAGTTGGACCACTTTACATTGTTTCATACCCTTTTCTTTTAAATTTACTTCTATGTTGCTCGGTAACATCCATTGGGTTTCTTAGTTAATAAATTTGCTAGTTGCACTAATTGACTCTCAATATTTTTTTTATGGTTCCAGTTTGACTTTATAATTGATTATCTATTTATAATACCAAGTCTTCTAAATTTTTTTCTTTAGGGTTTAGGATTTAGGATCTAATAAGTGAATCTAAATGAGTAATTAGGTCTAGGATTTAAAGGGATGTGCGTTTGGTTTCTCCAATTTCCTATTAATTTGGTTTGATAGTTTTTTCAATTAAAATTAGGATAATCTTTTCAACCTGTGTTATAAGTGTTTGAAAAGGGATTGTTTGTTCTATTGTTCACGAAATATAAATTTTCCACAGATTGTGGCCCAAAAATGTCTGAATGTGCAATTTTCATCTCATCATAACTTACAAATTTCCATTAACTAGGATTCACTTCTTGGTTATCTAACTTTTTTAATAAGGCTGCTAATTGGGAATTTAAAATGGTTAATACATCATTTTCAAGAGCACTAGCTATCCTCTTAGAATTAATTCTCTCTGATGATCATTGAAATTTATTTATTGTCATTTCTTCCATTTAAGCATAAGCTTTATCAAATTGTTTTGACATAAGAAAATCCTTTGCAACATCTATAATTGACTTTAAGATCTGATCAACCCTTTACAGAAAGTTTGGATTATCAGCCAATTTGGTTTGTAATTGTGCGGACACTTAGTAAATCCTTAAATCTATCCCAAACTTCATAGATCGGCTCATTGTCAAACTAGGTGAAAGATATGATATCATTCATAAGCTTGGCTGTTTTAGATGGTAGGAAATGCTTAGAAATTTTTATGGTGGATCATTCCAAGTAGTAATTGAACCAAGAGAAAGATAATTTGACCACATTTTAATTCTATCCCTCAAAGAAAATGAGAACAATCTCAGTTTAATGGTGTCATTAAAGACTTTTATACTTAAAAGCTACACAAATCTTTAATAAACTAGTTATATGTAGGTTAGGATCCTTAACAGATAAACACCCAAACTGAATATTTTGCACCATTTAAATTATTGCAGGCATAAGTTCAAAATTATTAACTTGGATAGTGGGTTTGTTTATGCTTTGGTGAATACCCTCTACTAATGAATTGACATACTTCCTAAGTGCTCTATGTTGATCTCCCTCATTTTGTTAATTTTCTATTATTTCAAGATTATTTTTGTTCTTTTATAGCTTTGTATTTTTTTACCGCTCTTTTCAATTTCAAGATCAAACAATATTAACTCACAATGTTAATCCTACGCTACAACCACCTTAAGGTTTTAAAGATAACTCTTCGCTAACAATTATCACAAAAGGGTGGAATTGTAGTCACAATGGAGCTATAACAATAAAATAAAATTACAAATACATAAAAATACAATGGAATTATAAAATAACACAGCAGCGTGCATTGCTATAACACGATTTGCATAGTACAAAAAAATTCAGAATTTATACTACAGTCTAATCACTATAAAACACACATGGTTGATACAATCAGCACAATACACAACAAAACAATGATAAATTGAATTAAAATATAACCTTTTTAAACTAATATGAACTTAAATTAGAATTTTACCGTTAAATCCCGACAATTGCGCAAAACATTGAATTTTGAACCATACTGTTCCAATAATTTTCTATTAAAAGGTTTAGATTACAGTGGATATTAATATACATACGAAGAATATGCAATTAAATAAATATTGCAGGTTAATAAAACAACAATCACGAATTTTTCATTTCAAAATCTTAAATCCAGATTACAAAACATAAAATATACCACTAGGCGAAGAAGTTTAGTTACATTACATTTAGATGAAAATTAAACATAAAACATCGAACTCAAAACACAACATTTGAGTAAATGAAAGAAAAGCACCAGGATAAAGTTTCAAACATCCCAAATCCGCTGAATCTTCTCATCTTGCTCCATGGACGTAGCCTTTTCACTCACTCTCACACACTTAAGTCGCACTCTAGGCTCTCACACTCTAAACACTCACACTCTCTACACACTCCATTCAGTCCACTGCATTCTCATACCACCTCCCCAAAATAAAAATTTAACTCTCTAAAACAGCCTAAGACCGCTCCCCAACTCCCTTGAGCCGTTTTGAAACGGATTGAAAGACAGATTGGTCAAGTTTTGGCATTGCGGCGCCATGACGTAGCACTGTGGCGCTATAGACGTTGCCTATAACCCTCAAAATAGAGCATTGCGACGCCGATGTCTCGGGTATTGACCTCTTTTTCATGGATGAATTGTGACACTACAAACATAGCGCGTAGGTGCTGCTATAGTAGTGCATAGGCACTACTACAATAACATTTCCATGTACTTTCCAACTTGTCATTCTGTAAATATCCTGCATAAAACATGTAACAAATGCCATAAAAATACAAAATAATGCAACATTTACACAAAAATACACAACAATTTTTATGCATTTTGAACACTTAACAGGCATCTCTATAGATCTTGAAGATGCTTTACCTTTTATTCACATTTAAAATAAGAAGTGGAGGATCAATTCAGAAGGGCATACTCTTTTGGATAGACTCATTTGCATACAGGAGACTTAGATTCCTTCGCTATTCATCTAATGTGGAAATGGACTAGATGTTTTTCAGTCTCTGAAGGTTGTCAACTATAGATAGTTGAAGTTCCAACCTAAGGGGAAGCATATTTTGTGGGAAAACAGTTGACAAATGGAGTGGTGATGCTGTTGAAAATAGGGTAATGCCTCAACTAGAGTGAGAAGTGAACTTGCAATTGTTCTTATTTTGAGCTGTTAATCTTGTCAACTCTTGACCATGTAGACTACATAGATTTAGTGGAAAATTATGTATGTTCGCATTGTCAATGTTTTCATAGGAAATTTGATCGGCCTTATTGACTCATGCAGTTTTTTTTTTCCTCGCGTATAGTAATTTGACTTTACATGCTTGGCGTGCATGATTATTTACTAGTACAAGCTGTTTGTTGCCCAAAATTATACTCATTTTCATTTGTATTTGTAACTTTTAATGAACAAAAAACATGAATTTGTGAGATTATGTTACTTTTAATTTATTTTCAATTTCTTACCATACTTCACCTAAGAGTATTCTTTCATGCTACATGGTAAAGATAGTATGGAGAATGGAGCTATGGTACTGGATTTGCAGGCACAGGGAGAAGAGATTTCCTGGAAGCAGGACTTGGAGATTTTCCAATCTCAAGTTGATTCACTGCGGGACAAATTATTGGAATTAAAAGTCGGCATTCAACGCTCAGAAAATGTTGCAAAGAGTGAGCTGGATCTTCTTTGGTGTAAAGTTGCAACTATTTCAGCATTGCTCACTTCTCTTAAATCTAAGGCAAGAAATATGGTAGTTATGCATTTATCCCAGTGTTCATGTGTGGCAAAGCATGAAGATGGAAGAAAGCTCAGCAATGTGGATGTCGCTCTATGTGATTGTTCTAAGGATGTGAACCCTTCTTATGAAATTCTAGCAAAAGAAACTTCATTAACTAGTAATTTTAATCTTGGATCACTTGAAGCTAATGATCGAACCTATACTGGGGAAGTATTAAGGTCAGTAGGCATGGTGACAGATATTATGGAATCACTTGTTAAAAGGGTCATCATTGCAGAAACTGAAGTTGTTTATGAAAAAGAGAAGGTAAATTTAGGATTGACAGAACTAAGAAGGAAGGGCCTCCAAATTGACAGAATGTCAACAAAGGTTAAAGAGATGGAAAACCTTGCAGCTAGTACAAATGATAAACTTAATGAGATGAGGCAAAGGGTTGAACATCTCATGCAGGAAACATCGAGACAGAAGCAGCACGCTGTAGAAAATGAGCAAGAGCTTTCTCGTGTAAAGCAAGAATTTGAAATGCTGAGGTCATTTGTTAACAATCTCATACGTTCCAGAGAGGAAGCATTATCATCAGATAGTCATGTACAAACGAGGGATGTTTTTGATAGGTATGGCATCTATTGCGTTTTGATGATTTTATATAGTCCGTTTTAAACAGTTGAATACAAGATTTGTTATTTATGGCATTTACACACGTAGCATGCAATTCCTATGTATTTACGTATCTGTCACCTAAACTTTCATATTTACACACATAACACTCAAATCTGTACTATCAAATAAAAAATCACACTATTACCAATTTTTACAAGTGAAGTACAGCTTTTCATGCATTGATTTAAAGCACCAAAGTTCTATTTATGTAAATATGAAAGTTTAAGTGTGAGATATATAAATACATAAGAATTGTGTGCTACGTATGTAAATTTCCCTCCTTGTTTTGGTCCATATGCTTTCTGGATGGTCGTTTTGCAAATTCTAGACAAAGTTCTTCTTTGCTAGGCTTCGGAACATTATTGGTTTAGACTAAATATTAATCATAATCATAACTTAGTTTTTAATTTATGTATTGAACTGCTCTTTGCTGCTACTCTATATTGAAAGAATGTTTCTTTGGAGATATATCGAAGGCATCTTTTATGCTTTATTTTGGAATTTGATGCTAAAATAAAGAATCTAGAATTTTGAGATAATATGGTCTTGGGTATTTTGCTCAGCTAACTCTATTATGTTCCATTCCTCTTCTCCCTTCTTAATCACTATTTTCTCATGCATGCTTCTTTTTCGTATTTTTGACTCCTTTACATCATGCTACTTTGTTAAAATATATTTGTTAGTAATGTATTATGAACATATAATTAGAAGCTTCAGCAATTTTTTAAGCATGCTAATTTACTATTGGTAAGTTTCTTGCGAGCAAGCAATGCATGATTTAAATATTTTAACTTGTAGAAAAAATTTAAAAAAAAAATTTGAACTTGTCTTTCTCTATAAATCAGTGATAAACTTGTTTACCAATTTTTTATTTGATTGCATGAAATACTATTTTATCAAATTTTTAGTCTAGTTGTTTGGTAAGGTGATTTGAGTTGTCAGTTTTATGAAATCCAGCTGGCTTATAAATAATGAAATAGGCCACAGATGGAGAAAAGCTGGCATTTTGTCAATATATTGACTTCATTGGTATGATATTTTATACAATGAATAAACCATGGTCAATTTTACTTCTTCTTATAATGCCCGAAGATTGTACTGGTAAGATGTAAGGGAAGAAGCAAGGCAAGCTCGCCCAGGAGTTGATTTTAAATTAAAAAATAAAAGTTAATTGCTTTCAAAGATCTGCAAAACAAAATAACATGTGAAAACTATAACAATAATTCAAAGCTCAACACATGTAACAGGTAGCATTCACGAACTAAGGTAATACAAAGACTTCTAATTTTTTTATTCAAAGAAAGTGTGCTATACCAATTAAAACTTTTTTTCTCGGTTTGAATTCCGGAGGAGAAAATTATGATTGGTGTAGGTTGACAACAATTATAGTAATTATGCCAAATATAATTAGTTCAAAATTTTTTGCTGGCCCTATGTCGGAATGATAAAGGTTATGATTGATGTTAGGTGAAATCAAATTGCAGAATTTATGCCTAAGTTCATAAAATGAATTTTATTAGTGCCAGGACATTATGTAAAAGTGATGCTTTACAAGCTATGCCGGTTTAATGTAAGGTTGGCGAGGTTTTGTTAGAACATTATCATGAGTGATGCACCATTACTTAATGCAATTGTGCTAAAAGTGGACATGATTTTGCCACACTTGAAAATAAGATTAGATTGTTTGAAGTGAACATGCAGTGATAATACGAGAAAATTAGTGGATGCATTTGTCAGAAGAATAATTATTATTGTGTTTATAAAAAAAATATTTTTGTGTTTATAATAAACTAAGTGAAATGGCATAAATTCCAAGGATATTGGGAAAATTTATAACCTTCTTTGTATTGGATGGGTTAATAATAATAATAAGGATTGTAGTAAGTAGAGAGTTGAAAGATTAAATTATTGAAGTTAATAAAGTTAATAATAAAATTGTTGATATTAAGTTAATTGTTGGTGAGGATATTGTAAATGTGGTTAGTGTAATAACTGTATAGAAAAAAAATTGATATGTCGGTTTGAGTAATCATTTCAACGTTCTTGTAACTGTAAGAAGGATAAGTTTAACTTGTTCGAATTGAACAGAGAGATCAGAAGAGATAGCAAGAGCAAGAAAGACAGGTGTCAGAGGGGTAATCTAGAACATGCCGAAGGAGTATGGACGAGGGTTTTGAATTCCTCGAAGGATAAATGCGTGTGTTCTGTATGAGAGGGAAGAAGTTGAAGGAGAGGAATCATATCTCGCATGCATAACCCTAGCGGATTGCATACGCTTGGGAAGAAGGGAGATGAAGCCGAAGTCGCATATTTTGTGTGAAGGAGAGGTGCGCTTTACATGCGGGTAAAGGGAAGAGTTGAGTCGAGGAGCTCGATGCGCCAAGAAAGATGGAGAGTCCGAATTGAGCCCCAACATGTGCATAGGCAAGAGGCTTCGTGTGGGAGGAAACCAAATCGAACCCTAGCATGTAGCTTTTGGTCTGAGGAAGACCGAGCCGAGCCTTTAGGGATCGTAAAGGTTTCAATATTTTGTTTATATTAGATAAATTATTTTAATTAAAAATGTTATTATGTTAATGTTAAAATTTATGAATTGATAATAGTGATTAAGTTTGTAAGCACACAAATTAAAAATAAGGGAGAATAGAACCGATCGGCCGAACAAGCTTGAGTAGGTGTTTTGGTTTTTTTATTTAATTTTAACAAATATTCGTAAAAATTCTAATTTTAAAGTTAAGTTTTAAATGAATAATATCAGAATTGATATATTCAAAGTATGTAAAATTATAAAAAGATTTTGAATTACAAGGAGCAGGAAGAGGGTAATAATGCTAAGGGTTTTATGTTTTTAAATTAAAGATTCTTTTTAAATTCAAAATTGGTGTTAATTATATTTTTATGAATTGAAATAGAGATTAAAAGAATTTTAATTTAGAGGATAGAGTTTTGGATCATTGATTTGGTAGAAGAAAGAAGAGAGTAACTAAGGTAAGCTCTCATATGTGTCTTTTCTTTTGATTAAATAAATAAATATTCTAAGATCTTGTTTGGAGCACCAAAAAATTTTGGTGGCGATGTTAGAAATGTAGATAATTGAAGATAAAGATAAATTAATAAGTATTAATCATACACAATGATATTAGGTATTGCAACAATAAAAGATTTCAAGAAGAATAAGCTAATTAAGTAAGATTAAGATGAGTAATTATATTTTTATATTATAATAATGCTTCTTAGTTCTGATTATATTTTTAATTTTTAGTTTTGTAAAATTTATGCTTTATACTGTTAAAATTTAGATTATCAGTGATGTCTTTATATTATTAGGCAAGAAATGTGCATGTTAACAATTCTGCATAAAAGTTGCACAATGATTTATTTATGAAGTTATTAGATTATTGTATGACATTTAGATTCTAGAAAATTTATCAGATTATTATATGATCTTTAGATTTTAGTATAGATATATTTATTCATTGGTTAATAAATATAAAATATCTCATAAGAAAAAATGTGCTATGACCACTGAAATAAAAATATGTATATATAAATACTTGTATGTACATGTTGAGAGAAGTTCACTCATTTATAGTACTAGTCTAAGATGCTAATATACTCGTCACATGTAGATATTTCTTAAAACTTCTGTCAATCGTGTAATTCAGATCACGAACCGTTGTGCCGACAATAGTAAGCCTAAAATGGGTCTCGTTGTGCCAATGATATATGTATCAACCAAAGGTGTGTTAGGTTATGTTTAGACGGTGCTCCCGAGATAGATACATAAGTTAAGAGTAAGATGTGCATTAAAGTTAAAATATTAAATCTTGAATATTAAAAAAAAGATAATGCATGTAAAAATTCTACATTACTTCTATGAGAAAATATCTTGAATGTACAAACTAATCATTATATATTTTTTAGAACATATTAGGAAAGAATAATATACATATTGTCTTTTTTTCCTTAGATTATTGTAGTTTAAAAGTATAATTTTTTCCTAGGTTATTTTGGATAATTCATTTTGTTATTTTAATATTTTTCATGTTTTAAGTTTGGAAGAGAGTGTATATAGCAGACTAGGACAACGAATTGAATGGTAAATTTATTATTGGTTAAATTATATTATTCTATTTAGTAACTCTTTCAATTTATTTTGGTTTTTAACTGCTAGAGATAGAAAATGGAAATAGAAAATTTTAATTTCACAGTCCACTCCCACTTGAAATTCTAAGCCATTGAGCCGGATCGCGACAAAAGTGGTATCAAAGACAATGTTAGATTAAATAATATGAATCTTAATGAAGAACCAACAGGATAATTTTGTGAATTTTTAATCATTAGTAATTTAAGTGATTTGAGTTAGGTTAACTTTGACTAGATAACCTTATTTTATCTCAAACATATGGATGCTCAAGAGGAGATTGGGGATGCTCTGGAGGTGGGAGAGGAATTATCACCCAATGTCATTGTGAATGCAAATGTCACTTGGTCCAGATGATGGCGGCTGTGACCCAACTTATTTAGGATTCTAGATCACGATCTAATGGAAACAATGGTACTCTTGCCATAGATAAATATTTGAAGATGTTCTAGGATTTATGATCACCACTGTTTAGGAGAACTGAAGGGCCAATAGAAGCTGAAAGTTAGCTATTGCGAATAGAGTAGATTTTGGACAGTATGTCTTACTCGAATGAGAGGAAGGTGCCTCTAGTTGCATTTGTATTAGATGGAGAATATGAAAGATGATGGCAAGTGTAACGTTGGGATAGGCCGGGAGGTATATCAAATGAGTCAGTTAACTGGGAAAATTTTATAGAATTATTTATAGATTAGTTCATACCCCTTTCTACACGGAGGCAGATGCAACATAAGCTCTTTAAGTTGATGCATGGAGAAAAGACAATTATGTAGTTTGAAGTAGAGTTCACTACACATTGAGGGCACCACA